AGTTTTAATCAGATTATAACACTTCCATCTCAAGGAATCAAAACAAAACTTTCAGTGTAAACCACGTACTCTAAAACTATTTACCTACTGAGAGTTCCTCCTTCAATGTTCTAAAATGAGAACCAAAGTATACCATCATGACTGAAACTCAAGATAATGGACACAGACCCAAAAAGATGTTGCTCTCTTTTCTTCGTCAATGGAAATGGATTAGCTTTGATTCTCTTACACTTGCTTGTAGAAGAGGACGTATGCTTGGTCGTGCAACACTTGTTTTGTCCCTATTGCGGTCACAGAGGCGTCATCAAACCTTAGCCACTGACCGTTCTTTCGTCGAGCATCTGTGGTGTAATGCCCCTTTGACGGATCCCTTCCATGGTGAGTTATCGTGGCCACAAGCTCATACTTTAAGCCCTACAAGAATAAATTTGAGTGACAAACAGTTCAACAGAGGAAGATCACATAAGAGAGCTATGCAAAGCACAAAGCTGTTTTGTTTTCGCCTTTGTACCTCGTTGGATGAAGATACAAGAAGGTAGCGACCTAAGTTGAGTTCGAGAGGAAAGTGAACGGGTTTATGCAGCTTAGTACTCCCTTGGCTTCCATAGCTAAAACGCATAAGGTGCAGTATCATTATCTTCGACAGTTTCTGTATCTTTATCGACTTCCTAGCACTCACTACACCAGCCTGAGATCATACAACTCAAATAAGCCAATTATTAAAAAAATATTCATACGGAACCTTCAAACATCCCACATATTTAATGAGAAGAGAGATAGTTTACCTTCCCAGTGACCGTGGCTCGATACCCTTCAAGATCTTCTGGGGCAGAGAACAAATGCAACGCATCTTCAATTGTCCTCACGGCTTCTGGATGAATATCAAGGTGAAGTAAGAGATAAGGCTGTACAGTAGCAGAAGCTTTGGTCCCTGTTATAAATGACGTTAGTGCCTGATGAAACAGAAATTCTATCATGACTTTCTAAAAGAATTTTTAAAATGACTACAAAGAATACAAATACCTATTGCCTTCACGACGCTTTTTAGCTGCCCACCGAATACGTCACTGAGCTCAGAAGGAACAAAGCTTTGTGTCCTTGTCACAGCTGATTTGTTTTTGGGTCCAACTGTTTCCCATTCATCATCATCGTTGGCAGAAGAAACAACTGATGACTTAGAAGCACTAACTCTAGGGAATTGTTCCCTGAGTTTCAATAGCTCATCATGCATTTGGTCCATTATAAAACTCAAAAACTCTTGAGCATCTTCCTGCCTGATAACACAGGCACACGAAGTTATAATTGTGGACAGACAGATTGACTGTTTAAAACATCAAAAAATTAAGACTGTGTGAGGAAGTCACAAACCTAGGCCTGCCAGACATGTTGTTGAGTACATCAGGGGTAAAATTTCTAAGTACCCCCTCGAACATGGAAGGTGTAAAAGGTCTACCAGCCTCAACAACAGCAACATTATTTCTGAAGCTTGAGGTCATCGGCACATCTAATTCAGAGATGAACTCGGAAAATGCAGCTAAAGTTGGAGATTCAGCCTGAAAAAGCAGAACAAGAACAATCACGATGAGACAACAATGATAGGAGACAGGGTTAAAGCGTAAAGAGAACAATCCAGGCTAGTAACCTTATGAACATCTTTTAGCTGTATTCCCTGGAGGAGTTGCACAAAAGGAGAACAAGAAAGCAACGCTTGCAAGGTTGCATTGAGGAAGCACAGGTTTCCGGCGTTTATTAATCCTCTCGGTGTAAAGTCTTTAATGGGTGGAACAGATTCCATAGGAACCATCTGGTTATTCTTTCTTGGTATGCTACCAGATGAAGAGTCATTTGACAAAATTCCACTGTCCAGAGCTTGGAATTTTGAGCTTGAAGCTTTATACAAAGACTCACTTTCACCATCCGAGACACCAGACTCATCCAAACCAATAGTATCTGTTTTCACTGCCACACCATTGTTGAGAGATTTTCTTTCGGAGACCTCCTTTATAATTCCATTTATTTCCACATGCTCCGGAATCCCTGAAGAGTTTTTTCTAGGGAGTTTTGCATCACTATCATTGACCTTATCCGAGCTGGAAGGTCTAGAAGCATCAACTTTCTTTTGCGACCCAGCGGATTGAAAACTTTTATCTTCTTTATGAGAGCTGGAGGGTTGAGATTTAACAGTCCCATCAGCCTGACCCTTATTCAACTTGCCATTAGTATCTACCGAAGAATTTTTGGCAGCAAGATTCAACGAGCCGAATTGTATACCTCCCACAGACTTGTCTTTATTATTCTGAGGAGCCTTAGTGGGTTTTTTCTCAAGTAATGACCTTGTTTCATGTTCTGTAAAGGATCCAAACACAAATACCTGCCATGAACAAAATAAGAATAGCAAGTGCCAGTTAAAGGAGACTAAACTAGGCAAATTAAATCAATACGAAAGTTAATTATAGTCTCTAGCACATACATTGGCCTCAGAGAACAATTACAGTATGGCCAAGTATCAACCACAAATGATCAGAGTGAAGCTATAGAAAAATACCACCAACTTTAATTTCAACTACAAATGATCAAAACGAAGCTACAATAAAAACCATCTCCACGAAATCAAAATCACCAAATACCCAACTCCAATACAACTCTACGTTGTTCTACCCCATGAGAACTAAACCCTAACGCAAACGTTACAGCGAAGAAACTCAAGTGGCTGGAAAAAATTACCTTCTTTTCACTCATAATTGGCACATACAACGCGACGGAGAAGAAATCGAAGAGCAGCACAAGAGCCCAGAACACGTAATCTGATTCAGAGAGAGATCCAATTGAAACGAAACGAAAGAAGCATAAGAAAATTCAAAATCTAGGGTTTGAGGCACCAACAACCCTGTATTAGAGTCGGCGAGTTGAGAAGACATGAAATAGGTAGAAGCGAAGAGGATTCTCGGCTCTTCTCTGCAAATTCGAAATGGGGAATCATCCGAATTTGGAGGAGGGGCAAGTA